CAAGTTATTTCTCGCCTTGACTTAGGCTGTTGAAACAGCCGATAGGCCGATAAGAAATATCCTGTAGGTGTGTATCATCCTTGGTACGCTATTGCCCAGCCGGTCCCAGCCCAGTTCAGCCTCTGCTCGACAATCCACAATGAAAATACAAAATATTGGCAATCCGAACCGGCAACGTTGTAAGAATAAACATACATATTGGCAACCAGCAACATTGAAAAGCAAAACAAGGGGGATGCACATTTTGTGTCAGATATGCCCACTTTTTATACTGTCAAGTGCACATTTTCAAATTTTCTCGGAACATCCCTGTTACTTGACTCCCTTTCTCATTTAAAATTTTCTAGGGGGTGGCTCTGGTGGTTGGGGGGTTGAAAGGGAGGAGTTGATTTTTGCATAAAAACTCATCCCCCTTCAAGTTATAGTTGACGTGTTTCAGGGATTTTTTTGAAAATTTTTCAACTCCGAGATATAGGGTTAGTAAGTTTTGAAATTAACACCCTGTATTTGGTGTCATGGGGAAAGAACATGATAGCACTGATTTTTGGATTTGTACCCCTTCCCAGGTTCTTCCAATAAAGTCAAAAATGCGATGTTTTCGAGATACTAGACTTAGTCCTAGTTAAATGGACTACCCTGTAGACTAGTAACTCATTGGATAGCTTCTGCTCTTCGTGATTTCAATGATATATAGTTGGATAGGTTTATTTCTACCAGTTTTTCAGAAAAAAATCATGTACAGCATCGTACACGTGTTCAGAAGTGAAACTTCTTAAAAACTAGCCCTCTCTCGTACAACTTTTTAGACTTATCGTATGAGATGAGACGCGCATGTGTAGTGACGTCATAAGGGTATTGATGCTTGACAATAATAGGCAATCCTTTTTGCTTGTAATCCAATACATGGTTTGTGTCAATCGTTCGTCGGCTGTCATTGTCTTTCTTCGTCTCTCTACGTTATATCTTTCTTCTCTCTCGTGTAACGAAATTTGCCAAAACGTGACGTTTCTCTGAAATTTCACTCTCTCTCTTTCATTCTCTCCATCCAAATATCAGACAGCAGCCAAAGAAGTGCCACTTCAAAAAAAAAAAACGTGCAGCTCTGTAGGAAAAATATTGTACCTAACACTTGCGGAAAATATTTTTCCGCACTGGGCTGCTTCACCGAACTTCGCTACGCGTCGTTCGGTGAACGGCAGCCGCGTGCGGGAAGATTCATTTTCCGCACTTGTTAGGTAAATAGCTATTACTTACGAGGGAAGTGGCACTTTACCGCACACTATGCGGTAAAGTTACTTTACCGCATAGTATGCGGTAAAGTTAACTTTACAGCATAGTATAATAATGACGATTCACGGATATAATAAAAAAAATCTCAGCACGCAAATGTATAAAGAACGAAAAGAATCACAAAACACGATAATAGTATAACAACAGGCAGACACGCATCTGTTGTGGCGTCACAAGGGTATTGGCGCTTGTCAATAATAGGCAATCCTCTTTGCGCTTTTAATCCTTGGTTTTTGTCAATCAATAGCTGTCTTTCTCCGGCTCTTTACGTTATATCTTTCTTCTCACGAGTAACGAAATTTGCCCGTGACGCGTTTTTCAAATTACTCTCCATTGTCGTCCAAATATCAGACCGCCGCCTAAGAAGTTTCACTTCAAAAATCATGTGCAGCATCATCGTACATGTCGTGTGGTAAGAAATGCAACTTCTTGAAAACTATTCCTCTCCACATCATAAATACAACTTTTAGACGTAGCATATGAATTGAAGGACCACACAAAAGGGAGACGGCTGTCATTGTCAAGTATCGTCACACCCCAAATATATGGCTGTCTTTCTCCGTCTCTCTACTTCTACGTTACATCTTTGTTCTCTTTCGTATAACGAAATGGGCCTAAACGTGACGCGTCTTTCAAATCACTCTCCATTCTTGCCCAAATATCACACCGCCGCCGCCTAACAAGTTTCACTTCAAAACATTACGATGTGTGCTTATAGACCACACGGTCCATGGTTCACACGACAAGTGAAAAAGTGATGAAAGTATGTTGAGTTGTAGAGGGCGCTTTGGTACTTTGAGCTTTTTGAATAGTGGCGCGTGAATAACCGAGTGTAATTTTAATCTCAAAAGTTTGATTTTTTTCAACTAAACTTCGGAGAAAAAAACCTTGGTTTGGATAGAAGAGGAAGGTTCCCTGCAAGGTTCTTTGAGTGAAGAACTTCAGGAACCTTGAGTTGCCTCATAACTTTTATGACGTCATCTGTATGCTTAAATAGTAGCAAATCTCCATAAGGACCACCTGATGACGTCATCTCTGTTTGCTATTATTACCAGACAACCTATTACCAGCAATTTTCATTTTCCAATGATATCGGCAGCGTCGCCGAAATTTGTTCTAGGGAGAGTCTTGATTGAATCCCAATCGCGTTATCTTTCTCCCCCGCACTTCTGATTGTTTCTCTCTCTTGCTTGGCTGAACTCGAACACGACTCGTGCCGACTGTATCCGACCGAATGAGCGTTAACGATTCGGGCGTGACGGCCCAACCTATCCACTCCCAGAAAAATGTTTGTGGTGAACGCTTCTGAAGATGTTTTCACCTCAGAAGTTATAACCTATTGAAGGCGTTCAACCACTTCAACCGGTCGGTCACAGCATAGAGGGTCACAGTTGATAGATAACCAAGGAAGCAAACATCATTTGCCAACCAATCGGTATTAAGGCCGCGTTAATGGCCGCCATGTTTAATTTTAATTTTCGAAAATGACGACTGCGTCACTCTACACATAGGGTTCAATATTTTATTATTTGTCCAAAACAAAATCTGTTTGTCGGTGAAACACTTAGTGACAGAGAAAGACAAATATACAATTATGATGCTCCCAATGTAGCTTTTTTACCGTGGCGCCATCTACTTGAAATTGCTTGAACTGTTTTCACCTTCAAAATTCGTTTTAAGGTCATCTCAAAAAATCCGCAATAATTTCCAAAATCCTTTGGCATAAACATTATTTGATATATTATCTACAATCTCTACAATTAGCTTTTTTTAATTTTTCGTGGTTATCAATAAAATATGCTTTTCACGGATCCAAACTTGATAAACATGCAAATATGCAACCACCAATACATTTAATTGTTTTGGTGGTTGCGAACATGATTTTTGAATTAAAAAAAAAAGGCTGAATATCGAAAAACCAAAATAAGGAATTGTAGATAATCGATCAAATAATGTTTATGCCAAATTTTAGCCAATTCTGATGTGCCGTTTTTTTAAAGACCTTAAAATAAGTTTCGAAAAATCAACCAATCACAGTTTAAACATGGCGGCCATTAACGCGGCCTTAAATGACGTTAAATGCATCGTTCATCTGTCAATATAACCGACTGGTTAATCGCCTTGACCTATATTTGTTTTTTTCATAAGAAACAAATGTGATAGGAAAAGACTTTATTTCTAGGGAAGGAAAATGAGAAAGGTCTCTAATGGCCGTTTCCACCAACTATTTTAGGAGAGCCTTAACGATAAGTATTCCTTAAACTGACATTTCTTCATGTAAAAATGTTATTTCAGGGAATACTTATAGTTAAGGCTCCCCTAAAATAGTTGGTGGAAACTGCCATAAAATATCCAAATTGGACCATCCTGTATCCAGTGACCAGTGACCGACTAACCGACTTGGCCAGCGCGCTTTTGAATTTGAGTGCCCCATCGGCATCGTTCAGTTGAAAATTTAAATATTATCATTCAACGAAGAGAATGGAACTCTATACCAAATCTCCAGTTTTTCAGATTCCAACACAGAAACAAGGTTTCTTCGAAATCATAATCACGGCACTAAAGTTCAGACAAATATTTATACACACAACACCCCACTTTACAATAAAAGAATCGCAAATGTGCAGCAGACATTTCGAAAAAGCCGACTCGAAAACTCAGGAATACCTACATAGAAAACGACAAGAAAATCTTCAGTGAAAAGAATATGCCATTTTGCCCAAGAGGATTTCCCTTAACAGAGAAGAAGAGTTTAAAACAAAACCCCCAATGAAGTTTGCGATTACTCTTTCGCATCTACCACACATGATGTTTTTGTTGAGAGCTTGAAATTTCGATTCGCGAATCACAAACAGCTTTATATGGACATCCAATATCTCCATCCTTCCGAGTTTCATAGAGTAAGAAACCTTCCCACCACACGGCACTCGAGTCTCTGACAGTTGGACTAAATAATAAAAGTTATTCGAGGACCGAACTCGAGGATTTTGTATCAAAATGGAACGGTTTATCCACATGCCTTGGCCCTTGACCAGGAATAGGAGGTAGATATTCCTGATACATACACCGACCAAGATAGTTGTGACTGCAACGTCCATGCCAGTGCAACAATTTGCAAAGACTGTATTTATTGTAGTTGCCAGGCTATTAAAAAAATACAATATTTACGCAGATGCGTATATGATACTTGCGAAAAGCCAAATATTTGTTGACACATTATCGATTGCGCAAGTTAATTGTGAGAAAAGCTTCTTGAAACTGAAGTATATTTTAAATCGATTATAAAGTAACATAAATCAAAAGAATCTGGAAGGGTTTATGATAAATGTCTATTGAAAAAGATTTACTCATGTCGTTAGACAACGACGAGATTACCAATAATGTAGCTAAGACTAGCGAAAACCTCAATAAAATAGAGACTTTTCTCAAGAAACAAATACAATCCATAGACAATTAGGTATTAAGAATTCAGTTAGATACGATTTATTTTATGAAATATATATTTTTTATGACTATTTTGTTGTTGCTTTCTACTCTTTGTTCTGAATAAAGGTATGTTAATTCATTCTTCTCGATAACATTATGAATAGCTTATCTTTCAACTTCCGTCCATCCCTGCCTTTACCATCATTTAACATCTATGGCATAGAGCAGAAATCCTTCAGAATTATTGCATCACTCTCTAACACGCTCATCGTTTTTTTTTGCAGGAGATGCTCATGAGTTTTCGAGTATCAGAGTTGCAAATGTTATTAGGTTTCGCCGGTAGAAATAAATCAGGAAGGAAGACGGAATTACAAGAGAGGGCTTTGGAATTATTGAGAGTCAGATCGCACCCTATCCATCAGAAAATCAAGGACTTGTTTGCGACGATACAGTTGTAAGTAAATATTCGGGAGGTATGGACAGGTAAAATCAGAAAAGAAGATTGTAACATCTTCATTGCTGATGAATTAACAAAACAAATTTTATCTTCAACTATGTTATAGGTACATAGGTATATATTTTTGTTGACAATGATATGTGGATAAACTATTGCAATTTTTAAAATACTTATTTAGATCACCGATATTTAGATCTAAATTGCCAATTTTGTTTGCCAAATTTACGAAAATATTTGTGACCTATTTTTAGATAGATTTTCATCTATAGGAGGTCATAGGCAAAATAATGTAGGTACCTATGGTTAAGTTTTTTTTTCGTCGCTTGCACATGCGAAAAAAGTATCACTTTCCGCATTTGTTAGGTAACTACCTAAATAACTATTTCCGCACTAGTGAGGAAAAATAACTCTTTTCCAAAAGCAAGAAGAAAATCATTTTTTTAAAATTACATGATAATTTCTGAATAATTATAAATCAAAATTTTAATAACTATTCCCGCCTTACATAATTTCTACTTTTCCCCTGATTATGTTGGTGGACCGTCGACCTCCATTTTTAAAGCTTCTTCTCCATTGTTGCCACATTTCTACTTTCCAACTGCCTAGCCCAGTAGTGGCACTTGCTACTATTCTTCTTTTTCTCTACGGCAGCCTTCGACATTTGGCCAAAATGTGAAATGAATGAAGATAAATTATAAAATGGCCGATTAACTTGGTTGATTATTTGTGTGATTACATTTTTTGCTCGTATTTTAATTTAGAAATTGGATTTTCCCTGATAATCGAGTAAAAATAAAGGTGTTTCGTGGATAGTATTCGCTAGGATATAATGTCCCTGCGGGAGATGCTCTTCAGGTAATTCAGCATTATTAATAATTGTTTTCCTTATTATTTCCGGAAAAAATATGCTGATGTGATGTTTGAAAACACCAATCTTTTTTTTTTTTGTAGAATTTTATAATTTGGCTTATTAAAATTGTCTTGGTGCCGATGTTAATCACAGTAAATGTGTGATTTTCTTGATAGGACATCCGGAAATATGTATTACAGGTACTTCGACCATCAAATTTAATTCCTCGTTTCGGTAGTTGTGTTGTTACCTAGAACTGTTGGGTTTTACCATTTTATTTTATTCATTTTGGTTTGCCTGGGCCATTTAGCTTTGTTAGCGCTTTCGATATCAACAGTGCATGATTTCAAGCTGGATTTATACAGAAATATAATTTCATCTATCATTAGGTATTTATGACCAATAAAATGTCTGGGTTTGACTATTATTATCAAAATAATGATAAGTATATTTTATTGCCTATTTGAAAAAAAATAGAGGCAACAGTTTTTAATTTTCATTGTAGATTTTAGGTTATGAGTCAAAGGGGAAACAAGTTTTGTTTGTGCAGTGACCCACATTTGATTTAATTTACAGAAAAAGTTCGACAATTTTTTATAATTAAATGTTCTTCGTTAGAAATCATTACACAATCTTTTTAAATGCCAAATTAAAATTTGAATTTCTGTATTAACCCACTTTCAATCCTACAGTGGTCAGTGCAGTGCATCTACATTCACATAGTTCCAGAGTTTTTAATCTACATACATCTTTAGTAAGTTTAGATACCAATATTATAAAGGTCACTTCCTGGGTACTAATCTGATAGTTCTTAACTACCTATTGGGTCAATATACAGGGTCATCCAACAAGGAATGAACAGGGGCATATTTTTGACTCCCTGTATTTTTTAAAAACCAAAATTGCCATTTGTTTCCCATGTATTTTTTTCTGTAGAATTAAATACTGGACAAATACAAAACCGTTTTTCAAACATATGTACTCCTTTTACAGAGAGAAAATTAAAATTAAAATCTGAAACCCATGTCTAGTGACGTCTCCTAAGCAGGAAGAGCAAATCCAGCAGAATCGAAAATCAATACATGGAACATTAAAGGCTAATTAAATGCCCCGATCAGAAATTTAAGGCTCCTTAATTTTTCGCAAAAATGACTGTTCTGCTAGCTTTGACTTAAAAGTGGTTAAAATAACGAAAATTGCAAGTCCACTTGCAGAGACAATAAAGGCTCATTGAAGGCTCTGAAAATACACTAATCGTGAATTTCAGGCTCAATTACTTTTTTTGTGAGAATGCAAAAAGTGTGATGCGTGAGTGATGTCGGCCAAGCATGGGAGAAAAATCTCTCAGACAGTGAAAATCAGTGTTCCGATAGTGGAGTCGTAGTGAATACATAAAAGGCTAATTAAATGCTGTAATGAGAAATTTTAGGCTCCGCCAATTTTTGCGGAAATTGCTATTCTGCTAGCTTTAACCTAAGCCAGCAGAACATAGGCGAAAAAATGGCTAAAACAAAGAAAATTTCAATTTCACATGCACCGACATTAAAGGCTCTGGAGATATACCAATCGTGAATTTCAGGCTCAAGTACTTTTTTGGTGAAAATGCGAAAAGTAGCGATATGTGAGTAATGTCGGCAGAGCATGGCGGAAAAACCTGTCAGACAGTGAAAATCAGTTTTCGATAGTGCAGTCATTGTGAATACATCAAAGTCTAATTAAATGCTGTAATGAGAAATTTTAGGCTCTGCTAATTTCCGCGAACATGGCTATTCTGCTAGCTTTAACCTAAGCCAGCAGAACCTGAGCAAAAAAGTGGCTAAAACGACAGAAATTGCAATTCCATTTGCACAGACATTCAAGGCTCATTAAAGGCTCCGGAAATACACTAATCGCGAATTTCAGACATTTCTAAACTTATCAATAATAACCTAGTTAGTTTGGGTACTTTGGGTTTTTAATCAGACTTTCCCAAACTCACTAAATCAAAAAAGTAATTGAGCCTGAAATTTGCGATTGGTGTATTTCGAGAGCCTTTAATGTCTGTGCAAGTGGAATTGCAATTTTTGTTGTTTTAGCCACTTTTTCGCTCATGTTCTGCTGGCTTAAGTTAAAGCTAGCAGAACACAAGGAGCCTAAAATTTCACATTAGGGCATTTAATTTAGCCTTTAATGAGTCTTTAATGTTCCATGTATTGATTTTTGATTCTGCTGACTTTGCTCGTCTAGCTTAAGAGATGTTAACTAGTGGAATGATCTAGAAGCTATCAAAAATTGCCAGAATATTCCAAAGTTCTCTTTGATAAGTACCTACTTCTAATTGAACTTGCAAGGTCTTTGTATTTGAGTGTGTTCATGGAATTTTTAAGTTTGTTCTAAAGTGTCATGTAACGATTTTCAAGATATACTAAAAGTTTCCAGTTCTAAGTAGATTGTTTCCAAAAGTTCCATATGATTTTTTTTTTTTGATTTATTTATAACTGACCTCGAAACAGAAATTCTGGTGATGGGGTCTATGATTTACAATGGTCAAATCAAATTGACCAAATATTGGCTTAGGCATACTTAAATACTTATATCCTAGTAAGTAAATAATATGCTTTATTGTCCAAGAATACAAAAATCTTATTGACAAAGCTAACCTAACTTAAATTAAATTTTACAACCAAACCTAGAAGCCAGCAAGTCAACAATATCAATCAACTTAAAATTACCGTAGGCAATAATTTACAAAAATAATAAATACATTCATTTAACACAACATTTCTTGACATAGGTTTCAAAGACTAGTGGACACAACAACAACAAAAAAAAAACCTTTTTCTACAAACGTCACTAAAAGTGTCATTTTTAACGGATGCTGTCAGTGTCTAAAATGCCATTTTATGAAACTGGTGTTAAAAGTGATTACTTTTAGCACTAGTGCTAAAAGTAATCACTTTTAGCACTGATCAGAAAATATAAAAACATAGGAAATTTTAAATCAAAATAAAATATTTATTTAATTAAACGTACAATTAGCGAAACTGCAATTAGAATAAGAAACTCCATGGCCAAACTCGTTGGTAGCAGTTACTGAATTTATTTTGGTAAAACTTGTACCAGGAGGGCAAAGAGCAATGTAATTCTCCGAAGTTTTGGGCAGAATTTGATCCGCAATGTTCTTTTTATTTTGTAGCGAGTCTTCTATATACCCCTCCGCTACTGTTAGAGTTCCATCCACCGTGTCTCTTGATTATAGTAAGATTAGCACCAGAGTCTGCCAACAAACTCGCTGAGGAACGTCGGAAACAATGTCCAGTATAAAGATGGGGATCAGGCAAATTCAGAAATTTAGCGATTTCGGCAGGGATCTTACCAAATGTGTTGATTCCAACTGGAGTCTTGGCACATTTATTATTGCTGTATTTTATAAAAAATCTTGAGTGATTGATATCCGCTGGTCGAAGGGATAGGTACTTCTTATAGTAGTTTATATACAATGTACCACTAATAACGTAATTTCGTTGCACATTAGTTTTAGTGTCTGGTATATGCACAACTAATGAAGTTCCCAAATCTTCAATGTTATTTAATGTCAAATTGCAAAGTTCTTCTCGACGGCAAGCTCCAAATACACCGAAAATTGCGGCAACTTTTCGCATAAGATGTATTTCATCCGGGGCTTCTGCGAGAAATTTATCGATTTGTTCACTCCGCAATACTTTTGACTTTTTCGGTCGATATCCTTCACCCTTTCGCTTTAAAAAAGCTACAAGCTTGTAAAATCTGCTTATGTCCTGATTATTTATGTTCATCATCGCCTTTATCATTGAGTAATTTGACCAAAGCGTAGAAGATTTCCATATTTTTGATTTTTCTTCAAAGTATGCAAGAAGCACTTTTTCACTGGCCTCCTTGCCACTTACTTTTTTTTCATCACACCATTTCAAGAAACGATCGTATGAAAACTCGTACTGTTGCTTTGACTTGCTAGGCAATAATTCAAAAGTAGCTTTATTGGCAGCTTCTTCAATTTCCGCCGGGAGAAATTCATTGTCTTGATCACTTTCCATCGCCCAGAAAATAAACCACAATGAAACTGGATGAAACCACGCAAAAACCAAAAATTGTGCAAAAACCTTAAGCAAAAATTCGTGATTATTTGACG